CTTATACTCTTCCCTCCCCTGTTTTGATTCATCTCCCTCTTTCTCCCCATCCCTTGCAGAAAGCCTGCTAATTTTTCTTTTTTTTAGTGTATACACAGACACACACATATATATACACCACTCTTCATTTTGTATATTTTTTCATCTCGGTTATAATCCCCACTTCCCACCTCCAATTCATCATAATCCTGTGTACTTTTCTCACCCCAGTTTTGATCCTATTCCCCTGTCCACCCCCATAGAATGTCTCTGGTTTATAGCTGTTTGTTGATTTTTTAATTTTACTTTATTGAGTTGCTTTTTTCCCTCTGATCCCTCACACTTCTGCTATGAGTGAAACCATCCAGTATTTTTCTTTTTCTTTCTGGCTTATTTTACCAAGCAAAATCCCTTTCAGCTCCACATATATTTCCACAAAAGGTCCAAGTTTATCTTTTTGACTGTGGAGTAATATTCCATTGTATATATGTATCACTTCTTCTTGATCCAGCCATCTATTTTTGGGCATTTGGGTGGCACAAAGAAATTTTTTTCAGCAAGTGGTGCTGGGAAAATGCAAAAAAAAAAAAAAAAGCAGCTAGATTACTACCTTGCACCATATACAAAAACCAACTCAAAATGGATTAAAGAACTAGACATAAGACCTGAAACCATGAAATATATAGAAGAAAATATTGGTGAAACACTATACGATATACATCTCAGTAACATCTTTAGAGATATATCACCCAAAGCAAGGATAGTGAAGTAAAGGATACAAAGCTGGGATTATATAAAATTAAAGAACTCTGTACAACAAAAGAGGCATTACACAACACAAAGAGATACCCCACTGATTTGGAGAAAATTTTTGCACACAATACTAAAGACAAAAGACTGATCACAATGAGCTGATGAAACAAAACAAAAATAATTTTGTTTTTATATGGTTATTTTTATTCTCTACTTCTTGTGTAAATTCAAATTCATCACAGTTATCAAGAATTTGAAAAATAACTAAAATGTATTAATTAAAATGATATGTAGTCTTCAAATAATAAATTGATAAAAAATATAGAAATATAGTCTGATAGAAATAGTATATTTTTCAATTTAAAGTTAGCTATTCAATTTTTACATGTTGCAAAAAAGTTTTCTTTTCAAAATTGTGCCACATAAAGAAAACATAATGTTTCTCTAGCAAATCCCATATAAATATCCATAAATTTCATACAGTTTGCCCCAGCGGGTTATGCAAATACTTTACTTTCTATGTTAGGAAACAATGCTATATGTAGATTTCCGTATGTAATATGTTGCTACCAAATATTTTCTAGTATAATTGCCCACTAGTTAATCACAAATGTGTCTTAATATATCTTTGTTATTACCCAGAGGAATCATGTAAATCTACCAGCAATTGGCAAATACTAAATTTATTTTCTTCCTACTCTTATGACTCTTAAAAATGTTGGAATACTATTCTGGAAGGCTAGCTTTTCCTTGACCTGAGTTGTTACATCATGTTCACTTTGTAATACAGCATTGAGCACATTGCTTTGTCTACTTGGGTGTACATATTTTACTTCACAATAGCAAAGTTTTTTAAAAAAATATTTTTAAGACTAAAAGGATATGATTATCTATAACTCTAATTAGAGCATATTCTTACATTCTGCTTACACTAGCCTTGCTCTTTTTATTCTCTAAAAATCTTGATTTACTGTATCACTGGGGAGTTGAGAATAGTCATAAAAGGTATGATACTCACTGGATAATTCATAATAGAAACACAGTTATCTTTGGTCTCTGAATTATACTATTTTCTATATAATCAGATGAATCAAAGGCTGTTAAAACCAAGCTACAGGTGATAAATGACTTTTCAGTCAGTTATCTTGATACAAAGAAAGCTTAGATAAATTTTACATTTTTTGTACCTCTGGCCTTGCCAAAAACTCATCTCTTCTGCATCTCCAAAACTGACAAATAACATCTGTAGAATAAAAAACTATAAGACAATTTTATATTAAGTCACTGGTATGTAACTATATCTAACTTTGTAATTGCATTCTCCCCTAAACAATATAGAAATTTTATTCAGTTAAGAGTTAAACAAAGTTCATTCTCCACTTTTCCATCCATCCCACCTTCAGTCTTTTTCTTAAACAAAAACAGATGGCTTTTTCTTCATTACTTTTTCTCATTAACAAATTAAATTAATGCATTTCTTTTTTTAAAAGATTTATTTATTTGTACATACAGAACTGGGGTACAGACCAGAGGCTCAGGGGTGGTGAGAGATTTCCCCAGAGACAGAGTGGGGAGCAGAACAGGCAGATCAACGAAGTACACTGCTGAGGAGAGCAGCAGGCGGGTCAGGAGAGGTCTGCCACGCCATGTGGTCACCTCCGGGGCAGGAGGGACTCGAACTCATGTGGAAGTGGCTTTAGCTTCTCAGTGCTGTGCTTTAACCCACTGAGCCACAAGGAAGGGCCGAATTAATGTATTTCCTACATAACTTTAGTTTTTGCTCTGCCCAAAGAATCTCATCCCTTTAAGAATTCCCCACATATGCCAATAGAACCGTAAGGAGGGCAGAGTAAAAATGGCTGTCTTTTCTAAAAGAGACTACAGTTACATCTTTTGTTGTTAAACCCTTGTATATGTTAGAGGAGAAGCAGGTGCAATCAACAAAGGAGATCACATTCTACCCAATGATTCTAAATATAGATACACAGACATCTATACACATTATATAGATACTCATTTGAATAATGACATTATCTTTTTACTGTGAGAATTTTGCTTGTTGCATTAAGTACAGGAACCAAATATTTGATTATTTCAGGCTTGTACAGTGCCTTATTTAAGATAAATGTATCATTAATGAAAAACACCGGCCTTATTTCCAACACTCTGCCAAACAGATTTACATGAATAATAAGAAAAAATTCTTGCTCTAGTAATACCTACCATTCATTATTAAACATTTGCCATGAATTTCCTTTACCTTGCAGCACAGACATCTGTCTGCTGTTGAGAATGAAACACCCCAGAGAGCTTGAAGCCAACACTCAGGTTGAGCCACGACAGGCAAAAGGCAGTTCACCCAGCCATCAACAATCTCACATGTAAATTTACAAAGCAGATAGAAGAGAGCTATCAGCCTGAGCCCATTCCACAACATATCACCTGAGAATTACTCACATTATTTTAATGCACATAACTATATCACATGGCTTACTAATATTGACATTTATTTTCTCAAGAAACTTTAAGTTTAAAGAAACTATCATTCTAGTCCACAATTGACAAACACGAGGTAATGAAGAATTGGCACTACACAGGCTTATCTTCCACCAAGTTTCTTCGTTTGCTTTCTGTAAAGAATATTTCCTTTTCCTCCTTTCTCCACAAGCTTATATACCTTCTTCCCAATATTAGCCCCTTTCTTTGCTCTTCTTTGGAATGGGTTGTGCCACCAGGCGGCTGGGAGTTCACAAAAAAAAAGAAAAAAAGAAAAGAAAACCTTTCCAGAGACTGACTCCCATACAATTTTACTTTTGGATTAAGTCCAACGCCTCCTCCAAGCTCAATGTAGTGACGAACATTAAACCACAGTTACCCTCTGCGGTCAGTGTTCTTTTATTCTTTTTTTTTTTTTTTTTTTCAGAAGACGGCATACGAGATGTCGAGCAGTGACTGGAGTTCAGACGTGTGCTCTTCCGATCTGTTTTTTTTTTTTTTTTTTTTTTTTTTTTTTTTTAAGGGGGGAAGGCACAGATCAAAAGAGAAACAGCTTGGTTCTGCCCAGTTGCCTAAGGGCTGCCGTCCTTGGGACTCAAAAAGAAAGCCTACTCCAGTCACTGTCATTGGCGCTGTCCATTCCCTTGGTGCTGAATACACACACAAACACACAGGCGGCATTTCGCGCCAGGTTCAACCCCGCAGAAGCTGCGTAGACTCAGCCTGGGAAGACTAAATTCATTGCTGGGGTGGGGGAGGGGTGTTATTTAGACGTTTGTTTATTCTCTTTCCACGGGAAAATATTCTTCCACAAAGAGGCACGTGCATTTTATGGGAAAGTATTGGCATTGTTTCAGTTCAACAAGAAAGTGAAGACCTTTAATGAAGGAAAATGTAAAATTCAGAGTTAATGAAGCCTACTCTTTCTTTCCATGAGTCAACACAACAGCACTTGCGTTGTTAGATCTCCTTGTTGATTTTAAATCAGCAAGATACATTTCTGTTTTAAAAAATCATGTGATTAATTCTTTTTCTTAAAAGCACTATAAATATGTTGGTAGTCGGCTCTGTGATAACCTAAAATAGAATTTTAGACATTGTTTTACTAAGGTTGAGAAATAGGGGAGAAAAAAGTTACTTTGTTAAGAAAAATACATTTTAAAAAGTATTGCTTTAACATTGTCTTCAAAGCAGTTAGATCAGAATCTGGGCAGCAGCAGTGTCTCTCTTTCTCCTTGCCCTCCCAGCCTCGACAGCTCTGAAAGATTTAAGAGGTCTGTTCTTCATAGCGGGTACTGGTACAAATAGGACCATTATAAGAACCAACCCCTCCACCCCCCGCCCGCCGCCGCCCGACACACACACACACACACACATACACGAGATAATAAAATAAGATACTCAAACATATATATTCATATATGTTTGTGTGTGTGTGTACACACACGAATGACGGAAGGGAAGGAAAGAATGCTCATGTGCTGCATTTCCAGCCTTTCTTTCTCCGTACTTATATTCAAATAGGCACTTCTCTGAGAGTGAAGGAGTCTCTCCAGGCTACAGAATTTAAGGTCAAACGGGGAGCAGACTTAACTGATCCCAGCAAACGGTTCCTTCCTTTTCTTAATCCCTCGCTGCTTATTTTAGCCGCTTCTCCACCCCTCCGGGAATACCATCCAGATCTTAGTCCAGGTAGATCTGACGTCAAGAGATGGCTTTCGTCGATTTGACGTGTAAACACTCATTTCCATTCCGGCTGGGAAGGGCTGGGGCTCCACTCAGCCGGGAGACCGAGGCGCTGCACTGAGCGCTTGCCGCCGCCCAGCCTCGACTAGCGCGCCTCCCATCTCCTCACAGAACAGCCGCAAGCGAGAAGAGGTCCCGAGACTGAGCGAGTCTTTCTAGCTTTTACATTCTTGCTTCTTTTCCTTCCCTTCCCACTTGTGTGCGAGCGAGTGTGAGCCATGGTGAAGCGAGCCTGGACTCTGCAGTATACTGCTTTCGCTCTCTTTTGCGCTTGGTGTTCACTGAACAGTGTAAAAGCAAAGAGGCAGTTTGTGAATGAATGGGCGGCGGAGATCCCCGGGGGACCAGAGGCAGCCTCGGCCATAGCCCAGGAGCTGGGCTATGACCTTTTGGGTCAGGTAAGAGTTTGCACTTTCACGAAACTTTCTGAGATCGTAGGGGACTAGCAAGGTTGGAGCTCAGTCTCCTAAGTGGAGTCCCAGGTTGCACTCTCCTGAGTCCAGTGTGGCAAACACTAGGAGCTCCTCTATCAATTGTCCCTGGTGCGTTTGGAGAAAGAAAGCTGGCATTATTTATTGTTTAGGATGGGCGCAGCCAGGCAGAACGAAGCCGCTGCAGCTGGGTAGGGCTTCGTTCTGTTATGGGCTCTGGAATTGAAATCCGTTCCCGTGCGGTTTGAAAGAAATGTCTCTCCATTCTTGTTCACTGAGATTTAGGTGCACGCAGGCTCTTATGAACTAAGTGCCCAGGGAGAAGCGTGCGTTCTGTCCCCTGGGACCTAGAGGGTCTGCGTGGGGAGCCCACTGTTTCCTTCTTTTTCAATATGGCAGCGTCAGATAGAACTCCTGATGCAAGGGGCCAGCAGGCTTGGGGATGTCCGCGCACAGACTTAGGGGGCAAGCCCAGAACTTTGGGGGAGTGCCAATGGCTCGGAAGCTGTATGCTGAGACCGCGGAGTTGAGAATGGCCGGGGGGAGGGGAAGGGGACAGCGGTGTCCAGAGTGGGAAGAAGGGGTGAAAAGCCTGGGACCAATACCCTGCTCCCCTACCCCTGGAGCTCCAATTCCCCGCCCCCCAATTTGCAATATGAGCTTCACAAGTTTGCTGGGTCTGTCTCCGGGAAAGGTCAAGCTGCCGAATTGACTGTGAGGAAAGGATAAATTTAATTCTCTTCCCTCAGTCTAACCCTGAGGAGTTTCAGTTTGTGATGGAAAACTGTTGCCTGTCCAAATGAGGATTGGTTCATTAGGTAGCTGTGAGTGAGAGATGCCGTTTATTTAGCAGTAAGGGGGCTACTTAGCCGTGCAATTTCAGGAAAACCCCAGGGGATGTGAATTCTATTCTAAGCTTTCCTTTTCTTTGACTCAGAATCAAACTCTTGCCCCTTGCCTTGGAAGTTGGTGTGCATCGACGCGGGGGTGGAAGGAGTTGTAAAACATTTTGGCGCGTATTTTCTGGAGGCCGCTGAAGTCACGGATGAGTAATAGGCGTGGGCGTTAGCGATTCCATAGATCTAATTCGTTGAGGAATAAAATTTCCCTTGCTAGAGGAGAGGCTTCATTCTCCATCTCTATAACTAAAACTGTTTTTGAAATGCCTTGCAAAAAAGATCGACTTCTCTATAATCCAGTAGCCCACCAAAATTTTTGCTTTTGTCCCTTGCCCCCTCCTCCTCTCCCTTGTCTGCACATTGTTATGGGCTGAGGAATAACAAGAATTAAACAAACTTTCAAGGAATGGAGAAGCCAGAGTAGACAGTTTAGAAACAAGTGACTGCAATTGCATGTAATTGTGCAGTAACAGAAGTTGTACTTGAAGTCTCATTATTTGTCAATTGAATAAATGAAGATGAAAAGGAACTGGGGAAGGTGAAAAAAGAAGCCTTCCCAAAGGAGAAAAATCTTTGCACAGTGTTTTAGGAAGAAGAGTTGACAGGAAAACATGATGAGACTGGAAAACATATTCCAGGTATAGAAAACAACTGTGGGGAGCCAGGGAAACAGCAAGAAAGCAGCTTTCTAATAAGTATGGAAACTTCAAGGAATTGTTGGGATCTAAAAAAAGAATAAGAAGTGTTTGGAATTGTACTAGAAATCTTGTGTGTTCCATGAGTGTGGGAGGCAAATTTGGGTATTTAATCCTATATCACTTGGGTAGTTAAATAGCACCAATAACCATAGAAACAGATTGGGGAGGGCAAAAAATAAGTCCCTCTTCTTTTTTTCATTTGTTATCCCCAGACACATCCAAAGCTGGTGGTGTTTTCATTTTGAAAACTGTTTTTCAAAATCAACAAATATAAATCCCTAAACTAAATAAATAAATAAATAAATAAATAAATAAATAAGTCAGTTTTCTTTGGAGGATCCCCAAGGAAAGGATGGTATAGTCACAAGAAACTTTAAAACAATGTAGGAAAAAAAATCATCTATATTTACATATAATTTGTGTATATTATGTTCTGTCTAAACATTTCATTAGAAATGACATTACTAATAACATTTAAAATATATAATTCTTTGTAAAAGACTTGATAGTGCTTTCCTAGTTCTGCTTATTTCTTCTTCTTTTACACAACTTTAGCAATGTCATATTAGCAACCCTTAAGAATTCTGGATAAAGTTTGGATTAAGGGGGTGACCAGTAGCAAAGCCAGTAGACAGCAAAGACTGAGCTAAGTATGGGTGATATCTCTGCCCAACTCAATCTGCAGCATATAGAAGATTTAGTCCTGCTCAGACATAGAACAGTATCTGTATTTAAAAATCATCTAAGTTATAAGAACCATCAATGAAGACAGAATTTTTCTGAAATTCTCCATTATCAGTGATTTATCTCTTTAGAGATTCAAACATCTAGAGAATTTGATAGCTTCAATTTAAGAATATTTTTAATAAAGGGACATTGGCTTAAAAGAATGATGAACATAGTTCTAATAGTTCTGTTGATAGTTACCCACAAAGTTGACACACTGTAACATGGAACACTTGACCTAAAAGTGGCATGATTGTCCCCCCCCAACCTTGAATTATGAAAATATAAAATGGTTACTACCAGTAGCTTATAACAACCATTTTCATGAACTGGATAGCTTTATTGTATAACAACGAATTGTTTTCACTGAATATGTACTGACCATTGTACCCAAATATGTACTCACAGAGTACCCAAATATATACTCACATAGACCCAGAGGGTTTGTTTGCTTTTCTACTAATGAGACAATCTTTTGGAGAATTATCTACCACACAAATATTGTCACATGAAAAAACAAAAGCAATTCCTTTGAAGTGTGTGAAGCAGAAACATGACCAGTTACCTTATACTTTGGGCCCATGTAGTCAAACAGCATGAAGCTTGTCTCATTTACCACCTGGACCCAGAAAGAGAGGCTTCTGTCAGTGTCTTTCTCATGAAGAAAAAGTTACCTTCAAGTACACTCTAAGTCAGTTGGGTTTCCAAATAGCCTATATATATATATATA